GCAGGCGTTTTGATAGTTATCATTAGCCCTTTAATTGACTACGGGCTTCACAGGAAGGAAGGAACATCAAAGTGAGAAAAGTCCTGAGGGGGGGGGGTAGACAGAAGAGTGTTTCAAAGATGTAAATGAGACAGACAGCCAAAGGTAGAAAAAAAGTTGTAGCAAGTACTGTCGAAGTAGTCGAATATGACATACAGTCGGGTGATGGCAGTTTGAAGTCAGAAGTTAACTGCCGGTTAATAGACCTTTTTGTTGTGTGAACATACGACGTCCAGGGTGTACCACGTGGAGGTAAGTCTATTGCACACCCTATTGCAAGAATCATTATACTTCTTTCTCTCTGAAACAATAATTATGGTAAAAATGAGTAAATCGGTAGAGTATTATTTCATTTCTTGACAGGCGGTTACACTTGTCCTTGAAAAGAACCTGCTGTGTAAACTTATCCAGTAAATGGTTTATTGGTAGGGCCTATTATGTACAGGGTTCTGTTTGATAAAAGAATCGAATCACGATAAACTAAACGAAGTAACGCAATATAAAGTGCATTATTTTCATATCTTAGAATCCGCTTCAAATGAACACTGTCCAAGTGTCTGTGTTTGCAAAAATCATCGAGTTGACTGTTCCGGAAAAGCTCTAACAGAGATTCCTAAAGGTCTCCCCTCAGATACAAGAGATTTGTAAGTTTCCTTTTAAACAATCCCATCCCTTTTGTACCAAATTCCCTTTTTCTAATTACCATGTATATGATTTCAGGTTCTTGGAACATAATGCAATCAAATCGATTGATCCAGAACGCCTGAACCACCTGAAGAATCTAGAAACTTTGTAGGTTGTGAAAGTTAGTTGAGCATGTTTCATTCATCATGGTTTATATTTATGATTTCGTTTATATTTTCAGACTTTTAAGCCATAACCAAATTATTGATCTAAGTGCTGGTGTCTTTAAGGAGTTGTCAAATCTGAAATCTATGTACGTTCTATTCACAATTAATACATTTCAACTCAATTATGCGTAATTTTTTAAAAAAATATGTTTTTCAGGGTTTTGAGTAGCAACGGTTTGAGATGCATTCATGTCGATGCTTTCAAGGGTCTCAAAAAACTCAAAGTTCTGTAAGTATCTTGTGTTAACGAACGAGAATTAGTTGAGAATAAAAACGTACTTTCTGTTCCCTGACGTTGGTAATAGCCAGTCCGATATTTATGTAAATAGCATGCGTCATGGTTTCTACCAGGATTCTTTAACAAGTCTTTTTCTGAAATGATTTTCTTCCACGAATAATTAATCTTTCCTTAATCTCTTTTCACTTAGAATTCTGCAAAACAATAACATCTCCACATTAATGAACGGAACTCTCCAGGATTTGGGTCAAATGAATAATTTGTAAGCTATCACTTCCTTCTATTCCTTTTCCACTCCCTCCCCTACATTTCAATTTCATCAGACTTTGTTTACTCTAGAGCTCTGGGCCAAAACCCCCTTAATTGTGATTGTAACCTTCGTTGGCTGCAATCTTTCTTCCGTGCCAAATACCTAGACAATGGAGTGGCCATTTGTTCTAGTCCAAGGCAAATGAAATATAAGTCGGTTTTCCATTCGAATTCAAGGGATTTCGTCTGTTCTGGAGATACAGAAGAAGTATATGGGAAGTGTAATCCTTGCGCTAATAGGCCCTGTTTAAATGGCGGAAAATGCAAGGCGTTAAGTGGAGTTGAATTCAAATGCTCTTGTGAAGCACCATTCTACGGCGACCGTTGTGAGAAACAAATGGATTCCTGCTTTGGAAAGCCCTGTAAAAATGGGGGTACTTGCAATTTGACAGAAAAACATGGGCATTACAGGTAATTTAATGCGCCTGGTTTGTTTTAATTGGGCTAAAATGGATCTTTAAATATGATGCTACTTATATTTTTGAGTAGATTTATACTTTCCTTTTTCATTTTAGGTGCGAATGTCCAACAGGATTTACCGGACTGAATTGCGAAGAAAATATTGACGACTGCAAAGATATCGTTTGCAATAATGGTGGAATTTGTGTGGATGGAGTTAATAATTACACTTGCGAATGTGCTCCTGGATTTAGAGGTAAATATAACTAAGTGAATCTCAAGGTACTTGTCAATAGATGGTCCTAAATTTGCTTGTTCTTATCGTGATTTCACCCGCTGCTATTACTTTTAAATGATTATTTTTTCTTAAATATACACCATAACTACTACCACCATAGTAAAGTGAAGGTGGAAGTGGAGCAACGACCTATTGTTTCACGTTGGGTAATTCCTAGGTGGAAAGATAGGTGATCAAGAGAACCTAAATCTCAAATAATTAGAATCAGCACGTTTGTCCACAAGCGTCTTGTAAACTATTATCCTGAAGATGATGGAGACAAGTGGGCGCAAAATTAAACTCAAACTTCGCAGATGACTGCTACATCTAAAGCTGAACATCGTTCTTTCCCAATTGTATTTGCATTGATCATGTTTTCAATCTTGCATAATAAGTAATACTAATACTCGTAATTTCATATCACCAACCCAGTGTAGTTCTTTTATTAATTTCCATGCATTAGAATACACTTTATTTCACATTTGACAAGCTTTGATTATGGAAGCTTGATCATATCATGTAAAATTTATTTATTTTAAATAGCAGGCGTTTTGATAGCTATCATTTGCCATTTAGC